AGCCTCTTAGGAAGGCAAGCCATACTTCCATGAGAACAAAAAGGTGAAGAGAACACTTGGAGATGAAGTTGAGGATATTGAGCATTTTGCTAACAGTGGACTTCGAAGTCTAGGAGGCATAGTCAGAGAGTTTCAGGAGTTGGATAGGGAGAAAGAGACAGAATACTAGGTGTGCTGAGCCTTATGAGCATTAGAACGTAAGAGATGAGAAAAGCACTTGAGATTTTGGGGCTTCTTGTGGTACTGATACAAGCAGGCATTAAGGGCTTAACAAGATGAACATTGGTAGACTCAAAACATACTGTTTTGACTCCTGTGGGCCACAGCCTGACACGGGCATGCCCCCACCCCCTGGCTCCCACAGCCACCTCCCTGAAGCATGGCACAGGAGGGCCTCACCTCACTGTGACAGCAGCATGGCACAGCAAGATCAAATTCATGCTCAGTGCCAAAGCTGATGGCAAGACCATTCTAACAGGCCTCCAGTCCATTTTCCAGGAGCACGGGATGGCGGAGTCAGTGCACACCTGGCAGGACCGTGGCTATTTAGCAGTCTACAAATGGAAACACAAAAACGGCATCTTTGCCAATTTGAGAATTTACCTACATGGATTGATGTTGCTGGACCTTCAGAGTTACAATGATGACCTGTAGGGCAAAGAAGAGATTGACAGCCTTTCGAACAAAGTAGAAAAAAGAATGAAAGAATTGAGTCAAGACAGTACTGGGCTGGTGAAGCCATTACCACCCATAGTCTGAAGAGGGGCCATCAACAGACATTGGTCCACCACCAATGGGCGCCTGGTCGAATATGACATAGATGAAGTGGTGTATAATGAAGATTCACCTTATTGGAACATTAAAATTCTACATTAGAAGCAATTTGGAAATATTCTCATCCTTAGTAGAGATGTTGATTTGGCAGAGTGATTTGCATATACCTGGGCCATCATGGGCAGCAGCAAAGCAGATTGCACTGGCAAAGAGGTACTGACTCTCAGAGGCTGAGATGGGGGCATATTATGTGAAACAGTCAAACTAAAATCAAAGATGGTCACTATGGTAGAGATTGACCAAATGGTGATTGATGGATGTAAGAAATATATGCAAAACACATGTGGTGATGTTGTAGACAATCTGAAAGGAGACTGCTATCAGGCTCTGATAGAAGACTGTATTCCAATACTGAAGAGGCACACCAGAGAAGGGAGAGAATTGGATTATGTGACTAATGATTTGACAGCTGTTCCAATATCCACATCTCCGGAACAAGATTCCACGTGGGAGTTTCTCAGACTGATTTTTGACCCCTCAATGAATGTATTGAAATAGGATGGGAAATATTTTACACGTGGGAACTGTGTCAATCTGACAGAAGCCCTGCCACCCTTCGAAGAACAGCTTGGGTGCCTGCATTGCCTTGTGGAATTCTCAAAGGAGATCGTCTATGTCCCTTCAAACTTCGAATTGTGGGTATTTCACACTGTCTGGAAGAAAGCTAAACCTTGAAGATGAATATCCCTTAATCACAAGTGCTGCAAATGGCCTTTTTCACTTCCATATGCTGTACATGACATTGAAACAAGTCAGGCAATTGATTGTGAATCCCTTGAAGTTTTCTTTTTAATTATTATTTTTAATTTTAAAAAGCAAATGGCAAATGTATATTTTGATGAGCTTAGGGTGTTATTTTTTTGAAAGCCAGCTGAAGGATGGTTCGACAGCACAGTAAAGACTGCCAAATGTCCTAACACCCTAGAATGTGATTTTTGTTACTTTTTATTTCTCCGTGGGCTTTTTTTTGTTTTGGTTATGATAGACTTTCAATGTGGATTTTTGGAGGAATGAACATCATTGTTTTGTTCCGAAGGGAAGTTTTTGGTGGTGTTTCTTTCCCCCAATATTGACTTAGATATTAAAATGTGGTGCTTATAAGAGAGAATTTTAAAAAATGAATAGTAATATCTCGATTAAAATTACAAAAGAGCCAAAAAATAGTTTTGAGTGTTGTGGAAGCTGAGTGTTGGGTTAAGAAGAGTAGGTGTCTGCACTTTTCTATAGACTCCTGATGATGATGAGGAGAAGTGGAGAGCTGTACAAACTTGGTCCAACAGTATGGGGCTCTCTTCAGACCTCTGCTGTGGAAGCCAGGTGTAACTCTGACTTTCCAGAGCATCTTACAAAACCAATTCTCCAAAGCACAGCCTTTGGAAAACCTTGCCCTGACTACTAAAAGAGGAAGAGTGACTAACATTTATTCTATACCCATTATGTACTAGGCACTGTGCTTCTTGTGTATATTATAAAATATAGCCACTATAGCATCTGTACTTAGTGTGAATTATTTTTATCAAAACCACTTTGCTGATACAAAAACAGACCTCTCATGCTCATTAGGTGTCTTTCACAGCTTGTGTTTTAGCATCACAGGAAGATACTCTGCATTGAGGAACAAAAGTCCTGATGTGTAGGAGGGCAATGACTTTAGAGCACTGGGATTCTGTGGGGATTGGGGGGTGTACCCCTTTTCCCTCCATCTGCTTCTACAAGACAAGTGTTTTCAGAAGAGAGAAAACATTTCATTATAATGACAGCGTGAATAAAACTAGTCTGAGTGCTGGATCCAAGGGGCCTGGAGCCAAGGTGTGTGCCAGGCAGGACCCTAGAACCAGAACTGCTTTAGAGGGCAAGTCCAGGAACCAGGGCACAACATCATCATGACAAAGTGTTTCCTATCCTCCAAAGACACAACGTTAAAATAGCCTTTTCCAGTGCAACCTGGTCTTAAATGGGATGTTTCCTGCAAACACACAATCAGGGATTTTCCTAAAGGAGCTGTTACCTTCAAATGCATCAAGACACGAAAATCCAGAGGTAGAAAAATCAATCCACTTTAAAAATATATATATCTTCCATGGACAAGATAGGAGAATGATTTAAGATGATACAGCATAGCATGAAGAACGTTGATCGCTTTTAAGGTTTGTTTCATGGTTTTCTGAACTTCTGTCACTTGGAGAAACAATCCATTATTCAGCAACAGTTTGGGGGAGGTTCTCAAAAAGGTACCCGTTTGAGAACTCAGTGAATTGCCAGCACATTTTGCAGTTGGAAGCTCAAATTTTTATAAATAACATGTGGGGAATCCATATAGGATTTGTTATTTTTAAATTTCACAATTGTATTTCCAATGCTGGATTCATAGGCACTTCCTTGTCATAGTAGCAGCACATTAATTTTAGCCTAAATAATTATTTAAATTATTTAACTATTTAAATTATTTAACTATTTAAATAATTATTTTACTAAGAAGAATCCACGAAATGAAAATGAGCACGTTCACTAATTTTCATGTTGCCTGACCATCTCATAGCACCGCCTACGGTCACAGACTGCAAAGCCTCTCACCAGAACAAGAAAGACCGAGCAAGGAAGTGTAGGTTCAACAGCACATGAGAACCATAACTTACAGTTCCAGAGTGTCTGAACCAGATAGGAGAGAAAATGAGAGGCCAAGAGTTGTCTCCATTTTCTTCTCTTCACAGTATCCTGCATAGTGGCACAAATCGAATTGGAAAGCCCAAGTTAACACCGCCCTGGGCGAACGGCCTGGCTCCACCGGCTCCTCCGTGCAGGAGGCTCCAGCCTGGGGATGCCTGATAGCTCTCCTTCCCTGGCGCCTGCATTATACATGTAACATTTATATTTCTATCCACACAGCGTTCATTCAGCCATCCATTCAATCACCCAGGCATATTTACACGTATGGAACACATTCGCGGAGAGATGTGTGTGTTTTGAGTTCCAACCACTGCAGCCCGTACTGGCGCTGCGCTTTGTCTCGCTTTGGGTCACCACCACAAGAGCCACGATTTCGCGGAAGGCACACGCCTGTGTGACCGCTTCCCACTCCACATGGGTTCCATAACAGCGCGGAGCTGGAGGAGTCAGGGACGTGGGGATGCCCTACTTCCCGCAGCATCCGGATGGCAGGGTCCGCGTCGGAAGGCCTGGGAGGGCGACGCCCTCCGATGGTGCCGCTGGGTGGGTGCGCCAGGCCTGGGTGTGGCCTCGCGGAGCGAGTTTCTCTCCACCGCTTTGGAACAGTGAAGCGCGAGTTGGGGTCTCCTGCATGCCAAAGGGAGACATGTTTGTTTCTGACAACACAAGCAAAATTCTCATTCTCATTCTTTCTTTCTCTCTTTCTCTCTCTCTCTCTCTCTCTCCCCCCCCCCTCCACCCCCCTCTCTCCTTCTCTACCTCCCTCTCTCCCTCTCTCTCATATTTGGTTGTTTCCCCCCTAAGGGGCCACTTTCAATGTCTGCCTGCGAGCCCAGCTGTCTGGCCCTATCTAGCATTGGCGAGACACTACACTTAACCTAGCGAAGTTTTCTTCTGCTTGCTCTTGCTGTGCCCAAGTTTCCTCTGGACTTATCTGCCAGCGTCGGGGTGGGGGCTGGGGGAAATAGGCAATCTAGCTCTGCCTGGTTGCTCCCTGGAAGCCAACTTGAAGTAACAAGTCAATCCCAGGCCCAGAAATAGAATACAAACCCTCTTTTTGTCCGGTGCTAACAGAGTCCAGCAGTCAGAAATCCCTGGCGTCTCACGCTGGACCTGACCCGGGTCGCCGCCAATTGCGCAACGCACAGTCACAGTTGGTGACCAATTAAGGACTGCCGCCCCCCTCCTTCACCTGCTACTAACTCAGAGCCCTGACTTCTCCAGAAGTACCTACCACTTGCAAGTGGCTCTCCTTCCCCGCCCCCTGCCCCAGTCCCGCACCTCAGCAGCGCCTCACCACCGCGACTTGCCGGAGCACCGCGAGTGGCGCGCGGCGCCCGCCTCCCCCGCGCGCCGTGACACCCTGCGCACCGCTGGTACTCTCGCCACGCCGCCGCCCGGCACTGCAGCACCGGGGGGAGGAGGGAGGCGGAGGAGGGGAGGAGGACCGCAGCGTGCAAGCCAGGAGTCACTTTCCCGCCCCTCCTCTCGCCGCTGACACGCTCAGAGGAGTCACCACTCTGCGCGCTGCAGGCGAGAGTGGCAGACGGAGGCGGCCCGGGGAAGCGAGCCGGAGCGGCGCCCGCACGGAGGCGGCTGCAGTGCTGACACCACTCAGGGAAAGGGTCTCCGACGGCTGGAGCGGTGAGTGGGGGAGGCGAAGCGGGCATCCCCGGGGAGACTTCGCCGGCTACTGGATTTCTCTTCCCGACCGGTGGCCGGGCGCTACAGCCTGGGGAAGTTTTTGCAACCTTTCAGAAGCGCAACTTTGCCCCGCCTGCCCCGGGGGAAACGGCTGCAGGTGCCCGCTGCTGGGTAGGCGCCTTTGTTGAGGAGGGACCGGGAAAGTCGGGGTAAAATAGATGCAGTGGCCCCCGGGTTCGCTAGGGTAGGTCTGGGGACTGGGTCGCACTTTCTCTGGGATTCCCAGGGGAGGTAGGTGGGCAGCAGAGGCGATGCAGGGGCCGCGTCTGCAGCGACCGCCAAGCTCTTTTTTGCTTGTGTGGTTTGACGGGCAGGGTACCTGGACCTATACCTTCATAGCAGCCTTAGGCTCAACTTTTCGGCGGGGATCCCTCTGCAGACGTGCGGGTGGCGGGAGAGCAGAGGCAGCTGCAGTAAGTGCTGAGAGAGCCTGAAAGAAACACCATGAATTTTCAAACTCTCCCACATGCATTCCCGAAGCGCCTGTCTAGCGTCTAAGCGACAGCAAGAGAGGGCTGGAGAGCAGGGGAGCCCGCGGGGCTGAGGCTCTTTGTCAGCCGCCTGCACTTCCTACACAACGCCTTCATTCAGCAAAAACCTATTGGGCGCCTACTGTGCGCCAGGCGAGGCGAAGCAGACCCAAGGCTGTGAAGCTCAGAGGGGAAAGGGACCGATCCCAGTAAATAATGGGTAATCTTAGATGGCAATGAGGGTAGTGAAGGCCATTAGCGGACCCTCTGACCCTTTCTCTTAGTGGGCTTCTTCCCCTCCGCCTGGGTTCTAGAACTGGGAAGACTTTTCTCCAGAGCGTCGCGGGGAGCGCCCCGAGCTGGGTCCAGGGGGACTGCGGAATACGGGGATGAACTTGGCTTGGGGCAGCCAGCACCCCGCGACAGATGAACAATCGGGAGCAGATCTGTGGGCGTGCGGGGACCTTAGGCGGCGCGCGGGGGCGGAGGGGGAGGGGCTGAGTCACGGGGGCTGGAGGTGCCGCCTGGACGGCCTGAGCTGGGGGCGCTCGCGTCACCTGCTACGTGTGCCAGTGATGCAAATGCAGACCCGCGAGGGGCGGGCGGGGGTGGCGGGTGGGGGCAGGAGACGGAGTCTCCGTCTGGGAGCGCGCGTGTGTGCGTCAAAGGCTCTAGGTTGATGGATGCCCCGCGGCGCGCCTGGCGCGGACAGCGGCCACCCGGCGGGGCCGCGGGGGGCGGGCGGACTGCGGCGGCGCGGGGCGGCGAGGAAAGCCCCGCACGGCCAGGGCGGGCTGGCAGGCGACTCCGCAGTGCGCCGCAGTGCTGGGAAGGCGCCGCAGCTACCGAGCACTCCCCGGGGTACCGAGGAGATGGGGCGTCTTTTAAGGCTCCGAGACCGGGATGCCCTGATCGTCTCCTCTCCCGCTGAACCTACTCCCTTCATACTTAGCTGACTGTTAGCGCGGTAGCTTCCGTTTAATTCTTATCCTTAATTCTGAAGAATGTGGCGTTGATCTCTTAGGCGTTCACTCATTTTCCTTGGCAAGTTCCGAAAGGCCTCGTGCTGGTGGGCAAGTTTTCATGTGAACGCCTAGGTGTTGAGGTTCGTGAGGTTCTGTAGTGCCAACGCGTTGCGCCACCATTCTTCAGGATTTTTGGCAGGAGGCCTGGCCTCTAAGCGAGGTTTAAGAATGTCTTTACAAAACAATGTGCCGCATTCCTCTTTCATAGCATAAAATACGCGTTAAAAACACTACTGATAATGCATTCTCTGGTGGAAAATAATAAATCAAATCCACGATCCATTCTATTCTTTCTTTAAAGACCACTTTCTGGAAACCCAGTGACTAAGTTTTTCTACTGGCTTTACTGAAGGAGCCCAAATCTTCAGTGTGTAGGCAAAAATGAATGAAAGGGGGCTGGGTTGGGAAAGAAGAAAGGAAGGGAGGGAGGAAGAAAAACAGTTATCAAGGAACCCAGAAACACAGATGCTAGTCACCATTTCCCCAAATATTGTGTTATGTCACCTTGGGCAGGTTACTTAGCCTCTTGGGTTCATCTTCCACCTTTGAGAAATGTAAAAAATAACTTATACTAGCTTTTATGTACTTTACAGGGTTGTTTTGAAGACAAAAGAGAGAGTCTCAGAGAGCTTTGGCTTTGGAAATACAAATTCTCTATGAATGGAAAATATTAGCAAAGCCCCTACACACACACACACACACACGCACAAACAACTTTATCTTTTAAAAAATTCTAGAGACCTTTTCCAGCGTTGTTTTTTCTTAAATGAAATTTGGCCCTCCATGTGAGCAAATGCAGACAATAGACTTTTCCTAACAGTCTAATATACAATCAAATGCCGTTAGCTGCTGACTGTCCGGAGAAGGAAAAAAAGAAGCTCTGGATCACATTTGGGTGTTTTGTTCATGTAGTGGAGAAATGAGATTTATTTTTCATGACCCAATGACAGTGAAAGTAGCTTCTCTGATCTGAGCAGCAGACTGGCCTAAGAGCTTATAGTAAAAATCCTATTCATTATTAACCCTATCATATTCCTTAAGTGTGGAAATGCTTCAAATAATAGGATCCAGTTCCCAATCTCCAGGAGATTACGGCAAAGGCATCATAATGTGCAATATATCACGTGATGACAAGTACCAGAAAACCCATTTCCTATAATTAGGAGTGTTAGCTCTTATTCTTAAGTAAACTTGATGACATATTGTATGAATAAAAGCATGTGATTTGTCAAAATGCCTCCTTAACCAGCCCACTGTTGTTATTCATATTACTCCATATAATGCTAGATTTCTGTGAGTAGTGAAAGCAAAATGTCTCTTATTCTGTGCAGCTATATCAGGGGAAAACCTTCAATTCACCAGCGTATTTCTTGGTTCCATGTTGGTGAGGTTCGTGTTTGACTGTGGTTCACAGCATACATATTATTTCCATTTAAACACAAACTCATCATTTCAATGAAGTCTGTTTGTAAATCCAGGAAAGGCAGCCCCTGGCAGGTGTATATAGTTTTGATGCAACATTGCCACATTGTTTTTGCTTTTGCTTTGCTTTTTCAATCTCTGCACAGTTGAGCAACCAGCGTAAAATGTTGCAGTGGTTTGAATTTGGAGGTTTTTTCTTTATTTGAGACAGCTGAGAATAACAATGGGAATGAAGTTACAATTTTAATTCTTGCTAGAAATATGTCTTAATGGGATACTAAAACACAATTTTATTTTATCACAACCCCTCCTAATTAGGGACAGCAGTAGTATTTGCACTTCAGGATGGCTTCCCTATTGAGAAGAATTGAACAAAATTAAATAAATGGGCAGGATGTATTGGATGATTTGGTCCTTTCTAGTTCTAATGTTCTTTCTCTCCAGGAAATAGAGAAATATATGATGAGTTATATTTTAAGTTTGAACTTTGCTTATAAGTAGTATAGAAAATGTGTTTTTAAAAATTAACTCAGGTTAAAATTTTACATGAAGCTATAGGCTCTGTTTTTGTAGATAAATGGTCCATTAGATTTTGTATTATGCCATTAGATGTATGAATTAAAACAATTTTAGGGATCAAATTTGAAAAATAATTCCTGCTTAATATAAAGAAAATACTCAGATCAATTTAGTATGACATTTAAAATATTTTCTGTTGACCACCTAATGCACATTATGCTTGCTACATCTTTTCCCATAGATAGTATATAATACAAATGATTAAGACTGGACACTATAGGGATGGCCTTCAGTCTTCTGACAACCTCAGACCCTCTTACAAGTCAAGAGTACAGTGAGATTCATGACAGGTGAAACCAAGAGCTTTCTCTTATCATTTTCCACTATTTGCAAATCCTAGAATCCTAGAGTAGCCAAATAGAGTGATTCTCAAATAGTTGTGTATATCATATTTTCCTGGGGAACTTGTTTAAGTGGGAATTTCTGAGTCCCATTCTAAACATTCTAAGTTAATGGTTCCATGGTTGGGCCCAGAATGTGCTGTTTATCAAGCTCTGCCAAGTGAGTTGGATATTATCATTAGGGGAACCATATATGCAGATGCACTTGAACTATTTCTAGATAGCATAGCAAGAACCAGAATGCATGGACTTTCTACGCTATGTTTTCCTCTTTAATATTTACCAAGTATCTGCTGGAAGCCCTCAGTGAAATATCATTCTGTTTTGTGAGACAGATGTAAAGAGGACTAACTTCTTTGGTAAAAGTCATAGGAGTGAGTGGCATGGGTGGTTGGGAACGACTCCATGGAGACACTTACATATTTGGTATCAAAGAAGGGAAGGGCATTGGCAGAAGGAACGTTGTAATGACAGGTCAGTTGAGTGCAATAAAGGCTGAATACCTTTGCATGGCCTTCAGAGCCCTAGGTGGTCTGGCCTCTGCTCACTTCTGCAGCCTCATTTTACATGAGCCCCAAACCACTTCCATCCCCAGCAACCTTCAATCATCAGTCTCCTTCTGCAACTTGCCCCAACTTACCTGTACCATATTAACTCCTTATGCTCTTCAGATTTCAATCCAGCCTCTAAGCCTCTGCTGTGAGGTTACTTTTAATACAGTGCACTTTTCCTCATAAAGTTATCAGAGAAAATATAAGATGCTCAGTTAAATTTGAATTTAGATAAACAATAAAATTTTTTAAGTATAAATATGTCTCAAATATTGCTTGGGACATTGTCCTAGTCCCTTCCAGCTACTATAACAAAATATTTTAGACTGGCTAATTTATAAACAATGGAAATTTATTGCTCACAATTCTGGAGGCTGGGAATTCCAAGATTAAGTTCCCAGAAGATTTGGTGTCTGGCCAAGGCCTGTTCCTCATAAATGTCCTCACATGGAAGGGGCAAGGCACCTCCCTTCAACCTCTTTGATAAGGGCACTAATCCCATTCATGAGGGTGGAACCCTAATGACTTATTTCCCAAAAGGCCTCACCTCTT